TTCATAAGTGCTTTCGTGAATCTGGCCCCTGGTATCCACTTGAGGAGCCGGTGAGGGACACCTCGGCACTCCTGCCTCCAGTCCACCAGGGTCACCTGCTAGAGTCCACCAGGACTCTAGCAGCTGACCCTGGTGGACTCTAGCAGCTAGAGTCCCTGGTGGACTCAGGCTGCTAGAGTCCGCCTGCTCGCCTGCAGGCGTCCTCAAAGCTTCTAGAACCACCATAACTAATCACCGTGATCCAAACATACATAAACATGTATTACAAGATCAAATAATGGCTTCAAATTTACAATATATATATATATATATATATATATATATATATATATATATATATATATATATATTATATATATATATATATAAACTCAACAAGGCGATTGACATATTAACAATTTCCTATTATTATAATTGAAACGTCTACACTTTAGCAGAAACCTGGGAATTTGCGACCCGTGAATGCTTCACAAACGAATTTTATAGAACACAATTACCACCAAAATTATATATATTTTAAGCTTCATAATAATGTTTAGGGACGAAATAATCTCGGCAAGAAAAAGAGTAGCATATAATCCTCATATAATAGCATATAATTTGTATCCTCACAAACTCAATGTATCTTCTTGTATATAAATAAATAAATAAATAATGTGCGGGGCAGGCTGCTCGCCCCGCACGGACCTCGCTATACAGGTCCTTCAGTTACGAGTCAGTTGAGATCTGGCATTCAGGAACAACACAATCCTAGAGAAGAATGGTATTACTTACTGTACTCCCGTGTAAAGGTAAGTGTACAGCTGAGGGAGAGGGAGAAGGTAGAAGGGAGAGGGAGAAGGTAGAAGGGAGAGGGAGAAGGTAGAAGGGAGAGGGAGAAGATAGAAGGGAGAGGGAGAAGATAGAAGGGAGAGGGAGAAGATAGAAGGGAGAGGGAGAAGATAGAAGGGAGAGGGAGAAGGTAGAAGGGAGAGGGAGAAGGTAGAAGGGAGAGGGAGAAGGTAGAAGGGAGAGGGAGAAGGTAGAAGGGAGAGGGAGAAGGTAGAAGGGAGAGGGAGAAGGTAGAAGGGAGAGGGAGAAGGTAGAAGGGAGAGGGAGAAGGTAGAAGGGAGAGGGAGAAGGTAGAAGGGAGAGGGAGAAGGTAGAAGGGAGAGGGAGAAGGGAGAGGGAGAAGGTAGAAGGGAGAGGGAGAAGGTAGAAGGGAGAGGGAGAAGGTAGAAGGTAGAAGGGAGAGGGAGAAGGTAGAAGGTAGAAGGGAGAGGGAGAAGGTAGAAGGGAGAGGGAGAAGGGAGAGGGAGAAGGTAGAAGGGAGAGGGAGAAGGTAGAAGGGAGAGGGAGAAGGTAGAAGGGAGAGGGAGAAGGTAGGGAGAGAGGGAGAGGGAGAGGGAGAAGGAGAAGGGAGAGGGAGAAGGTAGAAGGGAGAGGGAGAAGGTAGAAGGGAGAGGGAGAAGGTAGAAGGGAGAGGGAGAAGGTAGAAGGGAGAGGGAGAAGGGAGAAGGGAGAGGGAGAAGGTAGAAGGGAGAGGGAGAAGGTAGAAGGGAGAGGGAGAAGGTAGAAGGGCGAGGGAGAAGGGAGAGGGAGAAGGGAGAGGGAGAAGGTAGAAGGGAGAGGGAGAAGGTAGAAGGGAGAGGGAGAAGGTAGAAGGGAGAAGGGAGAAGGTAAGGGAGAGGGAGAAGGGAGAGGGAGAAGGTAGAAGGGAGAGGGAGAGGGAGAGGGAGAGGGAGAGGGAGAAGAGGGAGGGGGAGAGGGAGAAGGGAGGGGGAGAGGGAGAAGGGAGGGGGAGAGGGAGAAGGGAGGGGGAGAGGGAGAAGGGAGGGGGAGAGGGAGAAGTGAGGGGGAGAGGGAGAAGGGAGGGGGGGGAGAGGGAGAAGGGAGGGGGAGAGGGAGAAGTGAGGGGGAGAGGGAGAAGGGAGGGGGGGAGGGAGAAGGGAGGGGGAGAGGGAGAAGGGAGGGGGAGGGGGAGGGAGAGAAGGGAGGGGGAGGGGGAGAGGGAGAAGGGAGAAGGGAGGGAGAGAAGGGAGGGGGAGAAGGAAGAGAGAGGGCGGAGGGGAAGGGGAGTGCGGGATGGCGAACCCTGCGATATAGACGGTTCTTAATTTTCCAATCACCTGGGCAGTATGGGGCTCGGACCGTGGACCACACGGATACTTCAAATGGATCCCAGGACAAAACTCTTTCAACAAACTTTGAATCCCAGCTCAGCGTCTCTTAACAATTTAATTTCATCTCGAAACTCCTGTTCCTACAGACATCCGCCAGCTGGACCCGGATTCACGGAGCAGTTACGCAAGCACTTACGAACCTGTACATCTTTTCTCAATCTTTGGCGCTTTGTTTATAATTATTAAACAGTTAATGAGCTCCGAAGCACCAGGAGGCTATTTATAACAAGAACAGTTGATTGGCAAGTTTTCATGCTTGTAAACTGTTTGATAATGTAACCAAAGCCGTCAAAGATTGAAAAAAGATGTACACGTTCTTAAGTGCTTGTGTAAGTGCTTCGTGAATCCGAGTTCCCAGATATAAACACCTCGCACCGTCGAAAATCAACACGCACCCGTTTCTACCTATAGTTCTATATCTATCGGGACCAGATGCCTGTCTCTTTACTGTGTTCGGGCTAAGTTCATGTTATTCTATATACTTTCAATTGAACACTTTTGGGGCAGGACTTCAAAGAGTATAAAGATGAGGCTTTCAATTGCATAAGTTTTAATGACACCTTAAAGATGAGTTTAAACTCATCCAGAAGCCTGTCTTAACATGGGAACTTGGGAGTGAAGCGATGTGCTGACTTCACACGTCCAATATTAGCCTCCACCCGTCACACACCTGTCCAATATTAGCCTCCACCCGTCACACACACGTCCAATATTAGCCTCCACCCGTCACACACACGTCCAATATTAGCCTCCACCCGTCACACACACGTCCAATATTTGCCTCCACCCGTCACACACACGTCCAATATTTGCCTCCACCCGTCACACACACGTCCAATATTTGCCTCCACCCGTCACACACACGTCCAATATTTGCCTCCACCCGTCACACACACGTCCAATATTTGCCTCCACCCGTCACACACACGTCCAATATTTGCCTCCACCCGTCACACACACGTCCAATATTTGCCTCCACCCGTCACACACACGTCCAATATTTGCCTCCACCCGTCACACACACGTCCAATATTTGCCTCCACCCGTCACACACACGTCCAATATTTGCCTCCACCCGTCACACACACGTCCAATATTTGCCTCCACCCGTCACACACACGTCCAATATTTGCCTCCACCCGTCACACACACGTCCAATATTAGCCTCCACCCGTCACACACACGTCCAATATTAGCCTCCACCCGTCACACACACGTAAAATATTAGCCTTAACCCGTCATACCCGTCCAATATTAGCCTCCACCCGTCCAATATTAGCTTCCACCCGTCCAATATTAACCTCCCCCCGTCACACACGTCCAATATTAGCCTCCACCCGTTCAATATTAGCCTCCACCCGTCACACACGTCCAATATTAGCCTCCACCCGTCCAATATTAGCCTCCACCCGTCACACACGTCCAATATTAGCCTCCACCCGTCACTCACGTCCAATATTAGCCTCCACTTGCTTTCAAATTCAAAATGCGTCAAAAAATTTAATATCAGGATTTTAACCACCTAGTAATACATCAAGTGTGTCACTAGCAACTTCTACCCCTTCAATAATGCTGCGGCTTCAGCTTTATTAATGCTTCAGCTTCCTGTGGACAGCTTATGGTATGTTAACAAAAGCCAGCTATACGTGTTCTGTTCCTTTTGGTGTTGTAAAAGTTAATCGCCACTAACAATAAATACCCGTTTTTGTTGTCGCCAGCACATTCTATTTTAGGTCAAAAACAATTTAAATACCTAAACTGGCTCTAATTCACTGACTTGGAATTTAATTGTCTTATCCAGCCCCCAAGTACCCATTACTGATGTATTAGTATGAGATGTCTGCTTTAGCCTAGTTCTGCAATCAACAATCAATCAACCAACCAGCAACTGCATATTAAGTCATTATCAAAAGATGGCACCAAGCCGAACTGTATATTAGACGAATATTATTATTCGTCTAATATTATTATGGCTCGACTGTATTTAAGTTTTTCTCGGTCTGTTTTACCCCTTTTCAAGGGGTTCCTGCATCTCCACCTTCCACGGCTCCCTCCCTTGAACTGAAGCCTCCGAACTTCTACTTTTGTCTTCAATATTTTATAGAGTTGCTGCTCAGCCACGTTGAAATTCTTTCCTTCGAAGCCTAAAGTGCAACATTTCTCAGCTTAGACTGAGCTTCCAGCTCTTGTTAAAGCCCTCCAGCTTTATAAATGCCAGTTCTTTGGACGATTCAAAGCTTCATGTCCATTATTGGCAACATTAATTGTCTAGTCTTCTGTTTTACCAGAAATATTTTGTTTATGAAGGAGAGCTGTTATTTCTGGCACCGATGATGGCTTTCAAGCTCATATAAGCTACTGGACAAGATATACTTGCTAAGCGTAAAAAGTCAATAGATTGTAATAACGTCAACTGTAAACTTGTTCAACAAGATGTTTTAATTTCGTTAAAAAAGCACATTTGATTTTTAATATACAAAAAACTCGTCCCTACCCAAGTAGCCTCCTCCCTCGTCCCCACACAAGGTAGCCTCCCTACCATGTAACGCTCCATAATTTCTAAAGAACTTATTTTTTTATCTTTTGGGCACCTTAGTGGTGCTGTGCATAATTAATACCAGCGGCCAAAGGACACACACTGCTCCTATCCACTGTGTGGAGACTTGTTCCTCCAATGTGTGTTTCATAATGGCATTCACACCACTACAGTTTTTGTAATTGCTATTTTGAACTTCAGATTACACAATTTCCCTGTACCACACTACAAATGTCTCTGAATTCCCTTAACTCTACAGATACTTATATTTTGACAACTTTCGCTAATATATTGATAGCTAACCTTTAGATTCGTGGCTGGATGACATGTGACTGTCTAGAGAAGCAGGTGGCTGCTAATCAAGAACATAACTTGCTAGATGCCTGGGTCCCCACCTTGGCAGCGGCAGCCATTAACACCTAGGATAGGCGGGTAGATAAGGAAATGAACTATGTTGCCTTGTTAGGCCCAAATATAAGATAGATCTCCATATATTGTTCGAGAAATATTCAGTCTTGAAATATTTACAAGAATTTCAGAACTCTTGTACTGTATATAAAAAATAAAATAAAAATTAGGAGAGGACAATCTAGTTTTACAATTTAAATTGAGAATGTACCTTTAACAAAATATTACCACATGCTGGTCTAAAATATTGGTTATTACTTTCACTACGTACACTTATTAAAGTGCCGTTGCATGCAATTATTCATTATTGCATATGGTTAAGGTGTCTGCAATTTAAACCGAGTAATACAATGCGTGTGATACGAATATTCTCATGCAGGTTACAGACCTGCTTCAGAAGCTGGCGTAACTGTGGCCATCTTTGAGTATTGCACGTTGACTCGCCTCTTGTCTCTGGCATGTGCCCAGTTGATCCTTGTGCAGGCGCGGCTCCTCCATCTTACCTGTGAAAAACAACCCAACATTCACTGTAATTGTTAAAATTAGTTGTGTCAATATTATGTGGCCAGATGTTAAGACCAGGATAAATGAGACGTTTACAAGTCTTTATAAGCACGAGAATTGCCAGACAAACTATCAAGCACGCCGGTGGAAATTGTCAAGCACGCCGGTGGAAATTGTCAAGCACGCCGGTGGAAATTGTCAAGCACGCCGGTGGAAATTGTCAAGCACGCCGGTGGAAATTGTCAAGCACGCCGGGAAAATTGTCAAGCACGCCGGGAAAATTGTCAAGCACGCCGGGAAAATTGTCAAGCACGCCGGGAAAATTGTCAAGCACGCCGGGAAAATTGTCAAGCACGCCGGGAAAATTGTCAAGCACGCCGGGAAAATTGTCAAGCACGCCAGGGAAATTGTCAAGCACGCCAGGGAAATTGTCAAGCACGCCAGGGAAATTGTCAAGCACGCCAGGGAAATTGTCAAGCACGCCAGACACAAACCATCAAGCACGCCAGACACAAACCATCAAGCACGCCAGACACAAACCATCAAGCACGCCACACACAAACCATCAAGCACGCCACACACAAACCATCAAGCACGCCAGACACAAACCATCAAGCACGCCACACACAAACCATCAAGCACGCCACACACAAACCATCAAGCACGCCACACACAAACCATCAAGCACGCCACACACAAACCATCAAGCACGCCACACACAAACCATCAAGCACGCCACACACAAACCATCAAGCACGCCACACACAAACCATCAAGCACGCCACACACAAACCATCAAGCACGCCACACACAAACCATCAAGCACGCCAGACAAATTCCCATTTCATGACGTGTTTCCAAACATTGAATTCTACGAACTTGTGGTGGTTGAACTCCTCGCAATATAATTCAAAGCCATATACAACTTGACCCTCTAACTCTTGGCCAACTAGAAGCTATTAACACAAACCTTTTCGGACGATTTTTTTTTACTAGCTGCTACATTGTATTTTGCAGCGTCGGCGTTCGATCCCCGATGGTCCAAGTAGCTAGCCAGTGTCCTCGTATTCCTTGTAAGGTTTAGTTAGGTTCTAAAGTTTTAGTAGGCTTTATTTTGTCCCTTGAGGCAGGTTATGAGGACAGGTTGGACAATTACCTAGCCATCGTGCTCTGAAGGCACTTGGCTGGTTTTTCCAGAGTATAATCAGTCTCTTATATTACTACGGGCTCACCATAGCCCGTGCTACTTGGAACTTTGTTCCAGATAGCAAATTTTTAACAGCTCTTATATAATTCAATGGATTATTTGGAACTCACGGAAGTGTTACATGTAAATTCTAATATTCATAAGGATGCCTCATTTCACTATTTATAATGACAGTGAAACCATCACCACATTCACTGTATCTTTATCCTCGTGTGTATGTAATCACTATGGAAGGAGGGAAGATAAGAAAAAAAAAATGCCGAGGAGCCACTCTGAGACGACGTGCACTTCACTCATGTGTCTGTCACTCACTGGGGAGCCCTGGTGGACCCCGGCAATCCGAAACCACATGGCGGCTAGTTTAAAATATTCACAACATCATCCATTTCTATAGTACTCAAGTCATTACTCTTACTATTGATTACTTTTATTATTAGCATATCAATGATTCTATATTAGTTAATCGTTGGAATGAGTGGGAATATATTTGATGTAGACTGTATTATCTTCCTTGGTCTGGAGACGTGGCACCATTGTATGACTGGTTCAGGAGAGATCATGCCATTTGTTTCAGGAAAATAAATTTCCTCAGTATTGATAGGGACAACGTATGCTCAGGTATTTGCTTGGGGAAATTATAATGATTTCTTAATATGGTTTAACCTATCTAAAGCCTTCTTTTATATAATTATAGAACATACCGGTATTTATACTTTAGCAGACTATGTCATTTATAATATTGTTAATTAATTTGATTTGCATTGTTAATATTGGTTTTATTGGTGTTTACTGCGGATATTTGGAGCCACTTCTCTGTACGTGACCAGTGATTAGGCTGTAAGTCTTATAATGTAACATATATTTATGTCTTTGTGGATACCAATGTGTATGACTAGTTTGGTGACAAGTACCTTCATTTGGGGAGGCTTTAGGGTAGTTAATCTCGAGGGGGAGAATTGTTTCACACCCTTGCATGCATTGATGATATATAACCTTTAATATTTTAAAGAAAGTCCGCTACGTTGTTCATCCTGTCACTTGAACCCACGACACAGCTGAGACTGGGATAAATAAGTGAAGTTTATCAAGCGAGAAGATTAACAGTTACCAACCCCTAAACTTACGTTATCTTGCGGGTGTAATGTGGGGGGCGACTTTTAAGAAGAGTATATTTGACAAATAGTGTTTTTCTTACTCAGTGTAGGGTTAATTATTATACTCGTATTTCTAATGCCTCTTAGATGTTCACATTTTCTCGGGTAGTGGTCAAGGCGGTGTCCGTCACTCTCACCACAGCTTAGCGGCTCTGCTGTTGTTTCCATCCCAAATCTCCATGGATATTTGTATCAAAGACGAATTCTCGTTATTGAATCGTCCACCTTACTTTCATCTGTAATGATTTGGGGGTTGCCACCTGCTACCACATTGTATCAGCTTTCAGATTCACCTATTTCTTCTTCCATCCTCCTTTCCTTAGCTACATTGTCCCGATGTTATTGTCTGATCATACCTCAGACTTGTAGAAGTATTTAGTATGAAGTGTTCAATATGGTCTTCTTCAGCACCTTCAGCAGCCAGCACTTCTCGTTTATGTTCACAGATTCCAGCATTGGAGGGCATCCACAGGAACTTGGTTCATGATCAGTTAGTATTTTCCCAGCTCTCTTGGTTTCAGCGAGTATCTCTTGGTTTTCTGCCTGTTGTTTTCCTAAGGCTCGGTTATTTCTTGGTAATATTGTTGTAGTGAGGGGGGGGGGTCTCTGGCTATCTTAATTGCGACCTTAGCATTCGTTTCCTTAACTCTGTTTTTAACACTGGGGAGGAACAGCTTTTCTCGTAGTGTCGATGCTTGGCAGTTTTGGGACTCCAAATGATTGCCATGAGTTCATTTTGTATGCTTTCAAGCCATTTTTGTATCGTTTTGGGAGTATGTGCGTAAGAGTGGTGCGGAATATAGTCAATGACGAGACGGAGTGCACATATTGTTTTTTGTACATCATTTTAGGTACGGCAGAAGACGTCCTCCATGCCCATTACAGGACATGGCTTCGAGGGCCCTGACACGACTTTTACATGTCCCGATTAGTTGATCGAGCTCCTCTTTCTTTCTCTTGTTAGAGTCGATTTATTCCAAAGTCAACCCACTCCAGTGTTTCACCAATAATTTGCAATTCTTCGTTTTCTCTCTTATATGTTATTCAATAAATAGGCTTCATCCACGTACTGCAAATACTAATAATGGCCAACAGAATTTAACTACCTAACCTAAGCTACGCCTAACTATTCAGAACAATCTAGTAAGATATAATATTACCTCGGAGAAAATACAAATTTTGAATACGCCATTCGTTAAAATTGAAGAATGGGTTTGGTTTTAGCCGCCGCCTGGACGAGCCTAGCATGATGATAGGTAATTGGATTAACATGAGCGTATACCTTCACATTATTAGTTATTATCGAACATTCTGACTCTTTCTTAAATTACGATAACTTACATTTATTAATAATCAGTGTATGTCTGCTTGGCGTGCAGTTCAACACCTCTAGCTAAAAGTTACATTTCATTCCTTACAAACTCCTATCCTCTCTAAATTAATTTACGTAATGCAATCATAATTTGTATATGCAATCATAAATTAGTTTTTGACGTTCAACATGCAAATCAGTATGAATAAGAGTTAAACGAAAGTCATTAATGTTATACATGCAAATTCAACAACAATAAAAGCCTACTTGTCAATTTGTATATGCTAACTTTTTACTTAGTTACTCCAAAACTACATTTCCATACACAAGATGCTAAATGCACTGCCTTAATTACTCTTTACTTGTATGGTAAGCAAATTCACATAGGCAAATGAACTTAGGATTTTTATGGTTACGATACCTAGCCTAGCTCACAACATTCTGCTCGCATCCTTGACTTGGATGTGGGTTGACTTGGAGAGCCGGTTGGCCGAGCGGACAGCACGCGGGACTTGTGATCCTGTGGTCCTGGGTTCGATCCCAGGCGCCGGCAAGAAACAATGGGCAGAGTTTCTTTCACCCTATGCCCCTGTTACCTAGCAGTAAAATAGGTACCTGGGTGTTAGTCAGCTGTCACGGGTTGCTTCCTGGGGGTGGAGGCCTGGTCGAAGACCGGGCCGCGGGGACACTAAAGCCCCGAAATCATCTCAAGATAACCATCCTCAGTGTCTCCACGTGTCCCTCAGTGTCTCTACGTGTCCCTCAGTGTCTCCACGTGTCCCTCAGTGTCTCCACGTGTCCCTCAGTGTCTACACGTGTCCCTCAGTCCCTCCACGTGTCCCTCAGTGTCTCCACGTGTCCCTCAGTGTCTCCACGTGTCCCTCAGTGTCTCCACGTGTCCCTCAGTGTCTCCACGTGTCCCTCAGTGTCTCCACGTGTCCCTCAGTGTCTCCACGTGTCCCTCAGTCCCTCCACGTGTCCCTCAGTCCCTCCACGTGTCCCTCATTCATCTCCCGCAGCTCTGGGACTTATCTCCCTCTGAGCTTTCTCCAGTTTCGTTTTGTGTTTCAGGAGATAAAGATGGACTCCACGTCGGCGCAGGACATTCAAAAACCAGGTCTGACATATGTGGTATACTCTGGGTATACTGAAACCTAAATGATTCTGAATCAGGTTTGTAAATGCAGTTCTAGTGGTTGGAACCTTGTATATGTAGTGCCGTTTAGGAGCACAAGAATCCAAAAAGAGGTCAGTTCTACCCTACACTTTTCGTTACTTCGACGTGTCCTAAAAGCAGCCCGTCCTCTCAAATTGTCACAGGGGTCACAAAAATGATGTACCGATTTGCCCGAACCTAACCAAACGTAATCGACGACCCACGCATAGAAACTCTGAATGCTTGCGAGCCGCTGAGATTTTATAGAACATTATATTTTGTCCGTTGGGGGACTGTTGAAGTCAAAAGGCAATGTATTACTCGAGAGGCAAGGTTGTCTAGCACTCACACTGCCTTCATAACACACTTAGTGCCTGCACGCACCTGTTTTACTGACAAATCAGTTACTGGGAGTAACACCTTGCAGTCCTGACTCATATGAACAAATCCACAAGGGCCGTGACGAGGATTCGAACCTACATCTGAGAGCATCCCAGACGCTGCCTTAATCGACTGAGCTACATGGTCAAAAGAATTGAAACCTAAAGTTCTACTGAACTTACTTGGATCCTGCGGCCTCTCCGAGACACAAACTAGGGATTTACACAATTCCCCCATGCACTCAAGCTATGTCAAGAGGCCGTTCTACCTCTACCGCAGGTATGGGATGCTCTTGGACGTAGGTTCGAATCCTCGTCATGGCCCTTGTGGATTTGTTCATTTGATGCATCACACTATTGTGATTTCTATGTGAGTCTTGACTCATATTTTGTTCCTATTTTGTGGAAATTGTGTGAAGCAATATTTTATCTTCATCCCGGTCAATAATATTACTTATACCTTGACCATCTTAAGACATGGATGAGTTCATGTCTGGCAGATCTTTGTTGCCACTTACCCGGAGCTTCGGCTCTTTACCAGTCTATCCGGTACTGGTAAAGATCCGAATATTGCCGCCAGTAGTGATACTTCTCTTGAACATTACCAGATAACGAATGTCGGATAGGGGGCACCAAGCATTCATTATTAATGTCAGTGATGACCGCCTCTGGAACACAACTTCCTGGAGCGTCATCTTCAGCGCCTCTGGAACACAACTTCTTGGAACGTCACCTACACCGTCTCTGGAACACAACTTCCTGGAGCGCCATCTTCACTGCCTCTGGAACACAACTTCCTGGAGCCCCATCTTCACTGCGTCTGGAACACAACTTCCTGGAACGTCATCTTCACTGCCTCTGGAACACAACTTCCTGGAACGCCATCTTCACCGCCTCTGGAACACAACTTCCTGGAGCGTCATCTTCACCGCCTCTGGAACACAACTTCCTGGAGCGCCATCTTCACCGCCTCTGGAACACAACTTCCTGGAGCGTCACCTTCACCGCCTCAGACATGTTTCCAGAACTTTAAGAGTCCTGAGGACCTTTGCCGCGGGGCGTAATATACGTGTAGACTTGAGTCCAATTTTCCCCGTGGAGGGAAAGTCTCTGATAATGAGAAGACGGATCATCCTAACTCGTAAACTTGGCTCGCTTAGTATTCACGCAACTCATGACGTGAAGGTTCTTCACGCTCAAAACTGCTTTTATTAATCATCTTTTCCTCCTTCGTGTGGTGCGTGTGGTGGACGACAAATGACAGAAGCAGAGCAGTGAAAGGAAATGAAGTGGAGAGAAACTGAGCGATAGAGACGGACAGAGGCAGAGAGTTAGATGTTCTTGATGCTGGCTCAATCATTTTAAAGAATATTGCTTTA